TTGTTCGAAGTTTTAAAATTGTTTTGCAGGTTAATTCTGCCATGACAGATATGCTCATTTTTCTTTATATTGTTAGATATATATATTATATTCCAATTCGATTCAAAATGATTTGGCCAAATAACTAACTTAAAAATTCACTTCGATCCTAAAATTTCCTATTCGTACATGTCTACATACATCAGTAAAGAATTTTTAAACGGTCATTAGAGGGCGACATACTTTAGCTTATACTACTACACTTTCAATGCGGCAACACCAATCTTGAACGCTATGCGATTTTCTTGATCATGAATGCTCTTAATGTAGGTAATGTGATGTTCAAGATGTAAAAGCAACTCCCTCACTGAGTGAAAGGATATAGTAAGGGGTCCTGGATTACCTAACTTTGATTGCAGGTATTCTTTTTCAATGAAAATAAAGACTTTCAATTCAATGAAAAATGTGAAAATGTGCATTTCTACATTCATTTCAATTGAAACAGTGCTAGAAATCTGACCCACGAACTTGTCGCCAGTCACTAAATCAAAGATACATGTTCCTTTTCCAATGTAGCAATATTACGTTGGCTGCCAAGATGTAATGCTGACCGATCAAGATGGGCTTGGCTTTGCAGTTACCTTTAGTATCCCTTAAGAACGAGCAGAAACGCAAGCCATGCATGAGGAAAAGCATGAGGGATTGCGCCATTGTCCTGAATACCGATAAAAATAGATGAATATTCTTAATAAAAATTATGCCCCCTTGTCGTGAATGGGGACGTGTTTCAGGAGTTCATGAGCATTGTGCTGCAAATAGCATTAGCCTCTAGACAAGACACTATACAACACACATTAACATAAAAAAACACCGATTAGTGATGTTAAAACCATTACAATCACAACACAATTGTACCTCTCTCTCCAACATGTTTCAATTCATAAACAGCAAAATCCATTAGAAGTTTACAGCCCAGTGGCATGCGCGCTACCATCGGCCTGAAGCATGCAAAATGGCGAGGTAGGGCCAACTAGTCAATGGCAGTGTGATAAAAGGTAAAATACCGTTCACAAGCTGAGCTAACCCTCGACTCTTTTTACCCGAAATGCGCGGCCGAGACCAGCTCCACAGGAGGGTTAAATAAGAGATTAATGAAAAAAAAAAAAAACAGTGTGGCAGCATCTCTGTGGAGCAGATGGAGCTGCTGTACTGAGAATGCACCTTCTGGTGGGGCAGAAATGAATGCACTAAACTTCAGCAAACAAAAGAAACGCAAAAAAGAAACAGCTGAAATTCAGCAACACAGCGTGGCGAAACTGATAATACTGCACGAACAGAATATGAAAACACCTTATATGCAATTGACAAAAATAAACAGTGCTGTTCTGCCACTATTCTCAAATTGTAAGCTTCTGGTGCCACCCCTGCTACCTGTACAAATAATTGAACATTCGTGGTTCCCAAGTTACCGTAGTATTCACGATGTGGTGCAAGAAATATCCGACACAGGGAAAACAGATAAAAATGAGGAACTATTTTCAGAAATGCACACAATGCAGATGTCTCACTTGGTTTCTTGCGGGAGATAAACTTGACTATCTTTCGTATTTCATAAATGCCAATGAGTCCCATCACACTGAGATTCGGCCTATGTTCTCAATCTTAAGAGCATGCTGCTGCAACATTTATAAGAAATATAGGGTGTGTTCTCTAAACACAGATATTTTACAAAAGGGCAATAGAAGTCGGGCAGCTGACGCCTTGCACACGGACTTTACATTGATGCAAAGGTAAACTACTGCAATTTAAGTTACACTGAAATGACTAGTAAGCAAGAACTTGTTGATTATAGACTTGAGGGCAAAAGCTTCATGGCAGTACTGCCGTGCGTAATGATCTACGGCACGTAATTTTTTTGCAAATCATAAATACTGCCTGTAATTTCAGATATATCAAAAATTTAAATGGTGATAACAAAACAGATAAAACACAGCCACTCTCTTGCATCAAAGCAGGACTTCTATGACAGAGAAGCGACAAAGATTGATTGAACGTCTCTCACACATTAATGATTTGATTGATATGTGGGGTTTAACGTCCAAAAACCACCATATGATTATGAGAGACGCCGTACTGGAAGGCTCCGGCAATTTCGACCACCTGGGGTTCTTAAACGTGCACCCAAATCTGAAACACATGGGCCTACAACATTTCCGCCTCCATCGGAAATGCAGCCGAGTACCTTAGCCACTAGACCACCGCGGCGGGGGAACGTCTCTCACACCTGCAAGTTGTCATGGAAAGTCGTGACAAGTCGCCACACTGGAATTTACAGACCACCTTATCTTTTGCACATAGCATTTGGTGCTTATGCATTTTTTTCCCACAGTGAGCTACAAAACGGCAAAATCCACCTGTTCTTGCACTGTACTGCGTAAAACTGAAGGCCAGTCACTGCGGCACTTCTTCCTGCCGTTAGGCGAAAGAATGCTTTATGCCTATTTATAGTTTAATGTAGCACAGTGCAATAGCAAAATTTTAGGTATAAAGTGAATTCAATCAATGAAATGTGAGTGCCAATCCAGTCAAGCATTACAAGAATATTTTTCTAATACTTCTAAGAGAAATAGCAAAATAAATGTAGAACAGGATTCCTCAAGATATTCTTATCAGATAGCAACATGAATGTTTCTTTGGCCTAGCCAAAGTGTTGCCGCCACCACTGTAAAGGAAGAGATGCTATTTCCTCAGCCTTTCCTCCTGTTTCAACTCCTGTGGAAGCCCAAATAATGTGGGAGACAAAGGCATGCTCCCTTTGAGTCAGGTGTTCCAAATCTCCCTCGTAGGCATCAATATACCGGGACATCTGAAATATTGGATACTAATAATCTTCGACCTGCCTGCCCAGATTTCAGGTTCAAAAGAGCATTAATTAAGCCGCCACATCTGCTACATCCATCAACCCCACGTTGGAACCAGCCGTTTTCCAGAGTCAATACATTTGCGACCGCAGCGAAGCCTGAAAGCCAGCTTTGCCCCAATACAAGAACGCAATGGTAATAAGTATATAAAGAATGTGAAGGGGCCACTGCCAATCGGACATTTAACTGTATTTGTCTTCGGGAAGTTTGAATTCCAGTGTGACTCAAATCAAACAACAAACACTATTAAAAAAATACTCTAAATTTTGATAATTGGCACACTCCTAGTTTAAAGAAAGAACACACAAGCCCTAGACATAGCACAAAAAATACAAACATATCAGGGGTATTACGTGCCAAAACCACTGTACGATTACAAGGTACGTTGCAGTAGTGGAGGGCTCCGAAAATTTCAGTCACCTAGTGTTCTTCAATGTACACTGACGTTGCGTAGTATACACGAGCGTGTACCACTTCACCTCCATCAAAATGCGACCGTCGCTGCTGGGATCGAAGCCATGACTTTTGGGTGATCAGCGCAACCGTTACACTACCATGGAGGGTATGACAGAAAGAATAAGCAGTCCACATGTGTATTTCAGGTGACTCGCCATTCTTCCCGACCAAATCACGTTTCAACATGCCTTCATTTAAATTTTATTATGTCCGTTTCACAGACAGCCCCAGTATGATGAGACACCAGTGGCTCCTATTTCTGCACTTGGTGCACTCTACTTATATACTTATCACCTGTCTCTGTAGAAAACACCACTCAAGATGGCACCATCGAATTTCGACTATGAATGCTTGAAATTGCTCACAATTTTCCTGCCATTCAAAATATAGGTACACCATAAATATTATCAAAGGCTTACAACTTACACATATGTTCAAGTATAAAATAGTTACCAATTATCTAGCTTTTTCCATTTAGTCATTTCAATGTAACGTTAAAGGGCCACTCGCCACGTTTGACAATTTCGAGCTGACAAGTGCAATGTGTAGATGGGGCATTCAGGACCACGTCTGCCAAAATTTGCAATGTTACGCGCCGCAAAAATTGGTTATTTCAAGATGAACGCTGCTCCCCCTTTATTGCGTGGGCCCGCGCCCAGAGAATGAGGGCATGATGTGCACACGTGATTTGCCCTAGGTACACGGTAGTGCAGTGACGATGGTCCTCTACGTAGACGACTGTGCTCAGACATTGCCAACAGTGGCACGCGACATGGCGAAAATGATTTAATGCGACATGCATACTTTATGTAATTTGTTGCTTGCAGAGATTCAGAGAAACATGAGATAAATAATGAGATGCAATAAAGAGATGTGCACGTCTCTTTTTCCATTTTTTCTCGTTAATCGCAACGCGAGATGCGGGGCTAATGTTCCAGTGCTTTGCATGCGTTTGTGTCCCCACGGCAAGCGTTTCATGGCCCTGTCTGTGAGCGAAACGCCTGTGAGGAGTCAGCTCGAAAAAGCCGAGAGGGACAAACTCATGGTGCCGGCGTATTTTAGTGGCAGTAGCCACTACAAGAAGGATTGTTCTTTTTAATGTGCAAATTTCATCTGATTTAATGATATCTTTTATAAATAAAAACTCAACTTTAACTATAAACTTGTTTTTCTCAAAACACAAATTTCGCCATTTTTTCCAAAGTGCCCCTCCTTTTTCGGGCACTTCTAGGGCTTGGATGTGCATAAAATTTTGCCCAAATTTTTTCCAAAGAATGGCAAATGCAATTATCTAGATTAAATTTCTATATTTTATTGTATATTAAAAACTTTTATGTAAAACTTTACTAGTGCAGAAGAAATATGGACTTTTTACGTCTATTATTTTTCATGCATATTACATATTTTGTATGTGCTTCCTAATTAGTTATTTGTACTCTACACTTTATTTGAAGCATCATGAACTATGAATGCTAAAAAATTTAAGTATTTTAGGACTGAAAAGAGGGGGGGCAAAAGCGTTAAGGTTTTCACTTTGTTATGTTGCAAAACTAAAAGTGTTTAACTTCCAAGAAAACTAATTACATATTTGAAATCAGCATAAAAAGGAATATTAAAAAAAAGTGTCTTCAAGTAGCATCTCCCCTTATGGTCGCGTAAGCATTCCCGTTTAAACCCTGAGTCCAGGCGCAAAGACAGGTGCCTAATTGTCGCAGAATTTCTATAAAAACGTGTGTGGGCCTACAAAATAAAACCTTCAGTGTCTATTACAATACAGTTGACGTCCGATTTGCCGGGCCTTCAAAAGATCTCAAGAAATATCTGGAAAATCAGGCAGTGTAGAAAAACGAATGCAAGCAAAAACACACTCTATAAAAATCAGTATTTTTCGCTGATAGAGAGGGTTGCAGCAGGAGTAAACGGTTCTCATTTCAATTCAACAAATGCATCATTCAAGTGGCTCTGAAAAGAGCCGAAAGAAAGAAAGAAAAAGAATCAGATGTGGCTGTGGCCGCCGCTACTGCATTTGTGCACTTAGGTGCCAAAAAAAAAAAAAAAAGTCGCTTATATTCGTTTCCACGGCGTTCCACTTCCCCCGATAATGTCTGCCTCAATTTCAGTTGACGTCACAGTGATTGCTGTACACCGATGACAGTGCCAGTGCTTGCATCAACTCTGAGCTCTCTGGCTGTGTGGGTGCTGCCTCTTTGATCTATGTGTCAGAGTTGTCAGAATTGGAGTGCCGGAACGGACCGAAAACCGAAAACGAAAAAAAAACAACGATATTTTGGATTGGAACGAAAACCGTAACTGGAACTTTATTATTTCATTCCGGAGTAAAATTGAAATGTCTGTTATCGTTTTTCAGTTCACAGGAAATCTGACAAAACAGAAAAACTGAGGCCATGCAATGTGAACATCAAGGCATAATTCAGTACAACATCAATGCGCATCTCGGACAGATATCCTAAAGTAAAGATGTTGAAATATTGCGGAAAGATAAAAAAAGTCCCTACCAGAGCTATTTGTACTATTACAAGAGGACTTTCGTGTGCCTCTCAAACAAACCGTCGTGAATAAGGCATTATCGGCGCTGCAGTTTGCTTGTAATAGTTGGGCACATATCAGATGACGGGCTCCTTCAGAGATCATGCTCACACTCGACAAAGAGCATTGAGCCTGCTCTACAAATTTCCAATTGAGAAAATAACCACTAAAAACTTGTTTAAAAATATCGAGCGAGAATGCACCTGCGCCAAACCTGGAAGCGCATTACAGGCCTGTGGTAGAATAAGTGCAGAAGTTGCATTCCAGAGAGAAGCACTGTGCCAACTTCAGAGGAAGCAGAAGGTGCCTTCTTGGCATTTTTTGAAAACAAAGAAAGCTGTAGTTGGCCCTCAATCACATTTGACAAGTGAGCCAGGATCAGTGGATATCGCACGCTGACTGGAAATGCTGGACAAGGAGCCGCGCATTCCGGGAATCACGAAAGTGTTGACATTTTGAGATGAGCCAAGGAGCAACAGCCAGAGCTATACATGTCAGCACAAGTGGCCCTTGGTGTACCAGCACACAAGTCAGCGTGGAGAGGGCATTTTCGACAGTGAAGTTTGCTTTGTCTGAGCAGCAGTCTCGGTTATCAGGAGGTACGCTCGATGACCTGCTGCTTCTGAAATCTTGTGTACCCCCTTCTTAAAAATTCGGCATTCAAACTTCAGGAAAAATGACTATAAAGTTTTTCTTCAAGCCTTGCTTCGAAATTTTTTGCGGCTTCCCTCATAATCATATTGCGGCTTTCTGACGTAAAATTCCAACATTTATTAATACATTTTTTCTTTGTTAGTTCATTTTTTAGTTTTGAGTGAGTACTTTCAAGATTACGTTTTTTGTTAGTTTTTATTATTATGAAACCGTTACGAACTGTTATGGAAAGTTGCTATTTTTTTTTTCATTCCGAAACAGAAATGAGACTTTTGTCTGTGGAATGGAACGAAAACCGGAACAAAAATGCCTTGGTCAGAATCCTCCCTAACTTGACGAATGATTTCGCCATAGGTCAATTCCACACACAGACAGAAGTTTTTGTTAGCGCCGCCGAAGCCCTCAAGGGTTATCCCGGCTGAAAACGAAACACTAGCAATCTGCAGATCGGTGAAGGCAACGTCCGCAGGTGGGAGTTTGTCACACACGATGTCCACTCCGGGCGAGATGGCAGTCTCGGCATCCAGTATGAAGCTCGTGTGGCGAAAACAGTTCCAGATTACCTGTTGCATAGCGCCTTCCACAAGTCTCCAAGCAAGCCAACGGCAGGCCAAAGGTCAAAAGCGCAGCTTTTGCCACTGTAGGAGCACAGGCTGCACAGCACCATGCCACCTAAGCTACGGCCAGAGGCTACAGCTGGCAATGGATTGGCGAGCACTGGATTGCAAAATTTTCAGTATCAAGGGTGCAGCAGCCACAACGTGATGGGTTCGAGGGTCCCAAAACAACCAAAATGGTGGCGTCAATATGAACTTTGAGTGTGCAGTTAGAGGTAAAAAGTCCAAAAAAATCGTATGGCGAAAGCTCTAAGCATCCGTAATTTCGTACTTTTTAATACATTGACTCTATAGAGACTTGACGGTGTCATAGGTAAGTTTGGGAAGTCAGGCCTGTCCGGAATTTCGGGCGTCCGAGAAATCGGATGTCGACTGTAATCTGTTTTTGGCATCACAAAATGGTGTTCATTAATACTTCCCTATGGTCTTGGTTTCTGTGAGTACTGAACAAAGCAGACTTTCACCTCACACATATGGTACAAATCAAGATGCAACAGTATGGAGCGGCTGGTGTAACAACGCAACTTTTACACAATGTGCACCCACAATTATTATCTTTTCCTCCAATTTCTCCGCGTTACTTTATATTACGAACCTGTACCGGCCCACACACGCTACTGCAGTATGCATTTTTTATCATCATGCACCTTTTATGACAAGCCTATCTCAGCAACTGTGTAGGCATGGCAACTGACAAAGTGCTAGAAGGAATACTGCATTGCACTTATAGGAGCCACTTCATCCCCGCCGAGCTTCAGCTACGTTAATGAAGATGAAGCCATCCTCTCTGATGATGATGATGATGATGATGATGATGATGATGATCTATACAAATGAAGATGTACACATGATGATGATCTCCAGAGATGACGATGAGGTGGTTATGTGTCGCACTCACAATATACCGCTAGAATAAAACTGTTGCGCTACTGCAGCCATTGGTTGCTCTCAGGACTCTTTCTTCTGACTTCTGTTGGTGACAGCAATGTCGATGGTGCGTGCTGTTGCTTCCCAGTGGACTACCTGCTTGAGGAACTCCTGTCCACAGCGTGTCTTTCGGCTCCTTTGGAGTCGATCCTTGAAAGGGACGACAAAGCTGTACTCGAGGCTTTCCCCGAGCTCGTACTGAAATCAAAAACAGGTGCATTTGAGAACCACGCAGAGGAAGAAAGAGGGAGAGACTTTACTACGGGTCTGTGTACGTCTAGGCTCCTTACTTTTCTGCCTCAGGTTAACAAATTCTACTGTCTAAAAAAAAAGAGCGAGTAAAAGAATGTCATTTCGTCTAAAAACTAAAGTAATCTATCTAGCACGCTTTCCTTTGGATTATCACCACGTGCCGATTACTTCCAGGTCATAATCAGCATGACATAGCGATAAGAAAGTAGCGAGTGCAGATTTTTCAAGAAAATAAATGCAAACAAACCACATGACAATTGTTGTGGCGGGAGAATAACTATTTCTCACAATCTTCTTTTTTTTTAGAGCATAACATTTACCTTTGTACATTTTTTTAGTAGTCAAACATGAGTACTCCACCAGCTGTGCCCACCTTACCTGCTCCATAGCCTGGTGAAGCCCCCAAAATGCTGGCTCCGACTCCAAGATGAAAGCCCTGCGTGACCCATGTATGACAGCCGGCGGTCCGGCAGTGCAGTATGCTCCATACATGCAGTGGTCGGTACGGTAGTTCCACCGGCACGGGAACAACAGTAGCCGTTCTGGGTGAGCACTGAACAAGATGTTGAGAAGATCCTGATCACCCCAGGAGATGTCGCGGCTGTACTTCTGCAGCAGCGGCCCCAGTCGCTTCTCCCAGCCAAACTCTCTCATTCGAGTCAGGTTCATCAGCATCACTCCCGAGTTGACACCTGCGTTTGGTGCAGACAAGAAAAACGGCCCGGGAAGTTGTGATGGCGACATGTTGTCTAATGGCAGAAGGGCCAGGTCTGACTAAACAACAAAAAAAGTATGATTCAGAGGTGTCAATGTAACAACAGGTGGTGTGTGTAACATGACCATAGTGTGTGCGACATGGCCTGAAATGCCCCCCAACAGCAAAACGTTTGCTCGGGGCTTTTTTATTGTAATTTGTAGCCTTGCATCTGGTAATGCTGAAATTGATTCATAAATGCTCTTACGTATCATACAATTAATACTCGCAGTGTCAATTGTGAACACTTTTAGCATGATTTCAAAACACTCGTCTAAAATCATAAGAAACTAGCGTCTCACAGTGGGGGGAGAGCCTAAGACCACATGCACTCAAGCTTTGGTGATGCTAAACACGCAGTTCTCAAATCAGGAGGACCAGCATGCAGTCAAGAATGAAAGAATGTGGGTGCTTCAGTGTACCGCAAGAAAAAAAAAGCATCCCTGGCGTTAACAGTCAAAACCACCTTGAGAGCAGCCTGACAGCAGAGTGAGAGGGGTGACAAACAATAGCCCTTATTGTATGCAAAACCTGGTTTTGTGTGCGCCCTGTGAGTGCACTGCAACATCAACAACACTCGCTTATTTTGCGTGTTTTTGTCATGATATTGCAAGCTGCTGCAAACTCTGATGAGCACTTACCCTTACTTCAAGACCAAGTTAAAATATTTTAAAAGCAACGTCCACCAGCCATGATCGGTCGGATGTGCTTTTTCTTATGTGATTCTTAAAAGAGAGAAAAGAAGATAAAAGTGCGCCTCGTAACTGTCTGCATCATAGTGCAACACCTCAACAGTAGCTCACGAGGGATGGGGGTAAGACGGGATTACAAGGATAGGATTAAAGGTATAAAGATAGAGAGGGGGAAGGAGAGAGCGCGGTGTAGGGATCGCGACACCCAGAAGCAGGGAGAAGATAGGAAAGATGGACACTGTCGCAGGAGTCCGAGGACGGGGCACCACTCGGCGAGAGCTCTTGTCGGCGTCAAGAGATAGCGATGGCGAGCCAGTCGGCCAGAACTGCGCCGTCGTCGGAGATCACGGGGGCACTACCGGTCGGCACGAAATCCAGCAAGCGAGTCATCAGGAGTGCCCCCCACATGGAGGACTATCAAACAGCACAAGCATCTAGAGTTTCTAGATTTGGTGCAAGGGGGCTTTTAGGTTAGGTCTATGAGTATTATTACTGTTGCAACGATGCATAATAGGTGCAAAAAATATAAAGTATGCACTATGAAAGAAAGGTGTATTGAAGTGTGTTAGTGGAATGCTATTGCCTTGACCGTGAAAGCAAAGCCATCAAAAAATGTGGCATGTAGTACTGCTATGGCAGCCAAGTCCATATGAGCTACAAATATTTTGTGCCTATACCTTGTAAAATCTAAGCAGCAAGAAAGCCTACCGCAAGTTACTAGAGTTCTCCACATAAACAAGATGCAAGGTTAGGCTTATAAAGAAAGATGCAATTCATCAATATGAAGGAACACCCCTCTGATCAGGCAACGTGTTAATGAAGAAGTTGTCGCTGACCAAGTCGAAAGTAGCTGATGTTTAAACTCGTACGATATCCGTGTTCAACCTCATCAATTGTACAGAAACCTTACTCAGTTGCATTCCCTGACTAGATAAGTGACCATAACTCCATTTCTCTATTTGGAGGGGATGCCTACAAGCCTGCATGCCAAGAAAATCGATGTCAAAGCTCCATTTTTTGCTCAATGAAATAGCCAATCAGCCACTATGGTAGATACACGCACTTATCCTTACCAAGCGGTTGGTAGAAAGGGTGCCTGGCAAAGCGGCGGTACCAGTTGGTGGCATAGTCTTCACTCTCTGGGGCCAATGCTGCTAGGTGCGAGCTGTTCATGGTTGCGAAGTATTTCCACAGTTCTTCGATGGGACTCAGAAACAGGACGTCAGCATCCACGTAGATGACCGCGTCGACATCTGGCAGCATACTCTGTAAGTAATTTTCGCGGTACATAACACAACAAAGGAAGGCGCACTTGTGCTGCATAAATCTGTATTTCTTGCTAACTGTCAATAGGTCGGGCCATGACACCAATTCTCAACCATAATTTCTGTGTGCCTGTGCATTCAAAACAGCATAGCATTATTATAGCCCACTTGGTCATGCGCTTAATATTTTAGCCAATTTCATCATCCACATAATTTACAACTGAACATACTTCTGATTTAGGCCTGGGCCGGCTTTGTGCTTGGATGACCCTCCTTCTCAGGCGTTTATTCTATCCTTACTTCTTCCTGTCTCGCTCAACTTTGACATTGTTGGCTTCAAAGTGTCTGCAATGTCAGAGTTTTGCTGACATCAAGTGGTCCCATTTCTGCTTTGACGTTTCCTGTGAAATGATGAGTTGTGCGTTCCTGTATCACGAAATAATCAGCTACTTCTATGACATTGTTACACTGAACGTATACCTCGCGGGCGGTTAAAGTGCATGAAAAGTAAATGCAAAAAGTTCCTAACGGCCAAAGAACAAATTGGGGTTGCCTTCGAGGCTGTATTCTATTTAGTCGGCGTTATTTAGTAGTAATTAAAACTCTGGTAAATGAATATAGTGGTGCTCCACTGAACATAGTTGAACCCAACTACACTGAACTACAGTAAATCAGATTATCTTTCCAATTATCCTTTGTATCGAACTATTTCTGATCACACCAATCGCTTCAATGTCTATACAGAGAGAAACTTACATCAAACAAAAACAGCCAGAATACTCCATATTGAAGTTCAGGCAGTGCAAAATGTCCCACAAAGTTGACTTTTACTTAAAAACGTTCTTTTTTCCTCGTGGATAAGAACTTTTTCGCATGCATTTGGGAGAATGAGAGCCGTGATTAGAAAGATGCTGTGTGGAACAGGTGGAAAATACTGCTTGCCGTCACGTGCTTTCAACACACTTTCTCGTTGTTGTGCCGCCAGCCTATTGCATGGGGTCCGTTCACTTCTTTGGTCATTTTTTTCACACATTAGATACCATAAAACAAAAGGAGCTACGGTTTATCAAAAGCTAATGATAATTAGTACAGTCGATCGTTGGCACCTCAAAAAAATGTTTAGTAAACTATTCATGAAAAAGGCCAAAATTAATGCTAAGGCAGACTACAAGCTTTCGGAGCCCAGGCAGTACATTCAGTTGCAGATGACGATATCAAGGTGCTACGCACATCAACACTTCGGTGTTTCAGCTCATAAAGCTTACAATAGCATGAATTATTTTATATTTTTCAAGCAGTGGTTGATAGAAAGCCAGGACAGTGATGTATCCATGTGCGAGTTTTCTAATATACTTGGTTTCTGCATGAAGAAAATCTTATGTCATGAGACAGCACTTGTTTTGCACTGTTCTTCTGGTGCCCTTGCTTTTTGTACTCTGTGTAAAGATGTGATGAGCTAGGCTACGAACAGCAAAGTCTTTCATTCGCATCAGCAAGTACTTTCTTCATCCTCAGACACTGCTAGAAAGAGAATGTTCACCAGATGCTCCAGATAATATCTGTTTCAGCTACAGTCGAAACTTGCGACAACAAAATCCCAAGGGAACAAAATTTTCACTGCAACGAAATATTTTGAGAGCACGGGTGAATATTTATGAAGTCAATATATATCACAACCCATAATTACAAAAAAAAAAAAGTTTTATCGCAGTCCCTCCTTAAGGAGATTTCTAAAATAAGAGTGCACCAATAAGCTACTCTCGTAACATCAACTGCATTCAAAAACTGCTCAAATGCATTCGTGGTACATTCAAATTGTACAGAACTATCACAACAGCACACCTGAGCAACTGCCATCACTGCTTACAAAAAAGAAAAACAAAAGAAAAAGAAAAGCTGACGACAATGGTGGTGATGATCGTTTCATTACGCGCTGCTTAAGTGGAGTCGGCAGAAGGTTCACCCGTAGACACACTTGATGACGGTACTGCTGACAGTGCAGTGCACCCGTCACTGACCAGTTCATGAGGCGAACTTAGTGACAAGGCAAATAAAATGCCGGGTGGCCTGAGCATGGATGAGTTTGCACGGACGAAGGAGTTATTGTGCACACAGAAATGATTGACAAAGCCATCATCAGTAGAGCGTATGAGGCCGGCGATCCCGACGATCTAAGACTGGAACAGTCGAAAAAAAAAATTACCCTGCAGGATGCGCTGAATGCCCTGGACAAAATTTGCTGTTTTTCTTCGGCCTGCAGAATGACGACATGGCAATAGACATTTTAAAATGCGGGTCAAGAGCTATTGAACTGCTGCAGGGAAAGGCTCGGCAAAGTAAGCTTATTGGCAATAAAACTTGTTTTTACTCATTTGCCTGTCTTCTTTTCTGCATTCTCGCACCAGTGAAATTCCTGCAAGAGCAAAACTTTTTGTCTTCCTCGCCAGTTTCATTATTGCAGCTTTCAACTGTATTACCATCAGTGGCAGCAGAGAAGCTACGTGCATATCCACCATTGACATAGAGACAAGACCAGCACTGATAAAGTTGTTGACAGTGAGTTGCAAGAGACAAAAGACAAACATGCAAAAGGTATGGCCCGTGGTCTTCACGACTCACGGGAAGAAACAGCCGCTGAGTGGCACAGGGCTTGAAGAGGGTCTGCCACTTTTCGGGATTCGGTTCTGGGAATTTCACCGGTGACACCTTGTAATCCACTCGCTTCAGCACGCTTTCGGGCCACGATGAGATCTAGCAAGAGAAGGTAATGCGATGAAAACAAAGTTGACAAATTTGCATAACACGGAAGAGACTAAGATCAACTGGAGACCATTCGCAAAAGACTATATTTGAACGAAACGACCTGTGGTGTGCAGGTCTCTCTTAGATAGAATTTGCCCCGGTGGATTGCAGGCATCACAGAATACAACAAAGAAAAGTCGCCACTTGGGTTGACAAGTGACCAATTTGGAAACTCGCTCACCAACGGGTTTTTTCATAGATTTCTCTGTAGACGAACACTCAAAGCAGCTAAATATATCAGTGGTACTTAGAGCAGGATATTGGAACATGCTTGCAAATATTTTACGTGGTGGTGCGAATGACAATGACATTTCAGGGTGACTATGAGGTCAAGCAGAAAACTCATGCATGCCTCAAAGGAGGAGGAAAGTAATTATGGTAACAAACAAAATTAAACACCAAAAGCATGGCAAAGATAGGAGTGTTCTTGCCATGCACTTGTATTTATATCTGTGCCCACAAAACCCATTGTTGTGTTGTTTAACAGCGGCCTGAAAAAAATGAATAGCAATATTCAAGCTACGTGAGCTGGGTCTTTCTTTTTTGTCTGGTGTCATTTTGTGTGTGAATTTCTTCAGCATTCTTTAATGTTTTGTGTGGTTAGCTCATCTACTGAACCAAAACAACAGGTTGCGCCATCTTCTTGTTAGACCAGTGTATAGAAACTCCAGCATAACTATAAACTTTGGTACTGATTTTATTGCTTCACTTCTTTCGAGAAAAAAAAGACAAATTTTTTCCAACAATTACAACTTCGGCGTTTATTTGGTTACGTCTTTTCCTGCAGTAATGCGCCCTGTACACAATGAAAGGCAAAAGAACCACCAACCGCTTGACGCAAAGGTTCCCTGTTCTCATCGTCGGCGAAAAGCAGGAGATCCAGGGGCACCGTTGTGAAGGCCACTGCCGACTTGATGTTGGTGACAGTCATGTTCAGCAGTCCCTTGCACGTCACCACCACCAACTTAACTCGCTCCCTGCACAAAGCAACGGTGATGATGGAATAGCAGCAAGATCAGCATCACATTTGGTTTCGGCTGGTTATTTATTAGCTCTGCAATTTGTACAACGATAGCATTGTTTAATTCCATTGTCCGATGCCCTTTTCGCACAGTGTAATTTCAATAATGTCATCCGTCAACCCACGAGCTAAGTGCAGTTTATTACACAGTTATTGCAATTTGTGCTTATTAGATTTTCATGGTAATTAGAAGTGGCCTTACTTTTTCGCACTTCACAACTGACCTGCGGGATAAATAATAAAGCAGCGAAATGCGTCAAATTAGTCTTTCTTACAGCTTACAGCATGCCTAACAGATAGTGTGCCGGTGCTCCAAAAGTAAAGCGAAATGTGCGAGGTGTGGCCAAACTGTTGAGTTTGCATGCAAGCGCGCTCTATCAGAAAACCTACCCCGATATTCTGATGCCGCCTTTATCACCGGTTGGAGTGAAGCCAGGCTACCACCATCACTGCTTGTCGGGGCAAATGTGGTGGCATTCTTGGTAATGCACAAGGCACATGTCTCCGAAGATTTCTTCAGGATGCAGATAAACAAATGCACAAAGCCTCGAAAGTGCCCCCTGACGAGCAGCGATATCAGAGCAGATTTGCTCAAGCCGGCGATAAGACAAGCATCTAAATATTGAAATGAGTCAGCTAAATGTGCCTATGCACTCTGGCAGTGGGCTGCACATCTCCGGATTGAGCACAATAACATGCAGTTTGGCCCGTAGCTTGGCCCCATATCACATGCTATGTTTTACTTTTGTGGCACATCAGGAGCATCCGAGGTCAATTTACTCAACAATCATCCCAAAACCAGGAGGGTGCTAAGATGGAGCAGCATTAAATTTGAGCCCAATTCTGTTCTCATGAGCACGGCTAGCCACTGTACAGCCGTTTTTGAGCCAGTAATGCTGCAATGCTGCACCTGCAAGCACTTCAATGAGACTGTGAAGTTAGAAATGCTGTATGAAATGGCCAGTTGCCCTTTTAAAGCTTTTGTTTTAACAAAGGCCGATTTTTTTCCTTCTGCACGAGTGCATTGATTTTCAGAGGCCATGTAAATCAATCTTCACAGCCTTCACACCCCACTTAAATGTCAACAAAGTGCTGACAGAAGTTCTGGCTCATAGCAGTTATTGCCGTGTCTTAAATCATTCCCCTCTTTATCTTCCCTACGGCCGCACGAACTTTACAGGGTCGAAAATGAGCATCACATTAATGTTTGCTTCCCTGCCATCACAACGGCTGGTTTCAGTCAGACCAGTAGTTACTAAAGTCTGATATAATCATAAGTGAACAACGATTGAGCTTTATTCATAAACCAAAATGTAAACACTTAACAAGAGCCTACATAGTCGCAGTTCTATCATGGTTTGTTAAATGCCTGCATGACTCAGTGGTGAATCCAGGGGTGTGGATTAGGGGGTTCAACCCCCTCCCCTTCTTTCTCAAAGTTTATTTCGTATGCGCACAAATACAAACACACGCATGAATGCAGATTTAAAAAAAAAGTGAAATCCACCCCAACAAGAAAAATGTTTCTAGCTACGCCCCTTATGTGTTTCTATTACCTTGCCTTGACATAGAAGTGGGAACTCCTAAAAAAAGCAGCTCATCGGGTCATAGTTATGATCCCTACATTTGTTCTCATCCAACGCGTTAACTGCAGCCTGAAACTCGCGGCCTCGGTTTGAGCTACGCCAGGGCACCACGCGCTCGAACATTGTGCTTGCGCGATGCAGACACCACATAGCGGTCACGCAGCAGCATTGGAACCGACCACAGGCACAAACCACAAACGAACACACTGCACATCGACTAGCTTAACTTACGGATGTGATCCTCCCGTTACAGCAGTCGCACTCGGTTGTGGCAGGGATGGAGCCGCGCTCTGAGATTTCTTGGCTTTAGGAAAGTCCACCGGTGCATTCGTCCAAAGATTATTGTATTCATACTTCAGTACACACATGGCGAGGAGCACGAAAACGACAAAAACGAACCTCACGAGGTGCGCCATTCTCTGCCCGGTCATCAGAGAGTCTCCACGCTGAAACGGTGTCTTGGGGAGTCCATATCCATATAACTCTGAAGAACTACAATAGGTTAACGAGGCGGGCTGGCGGCTTCATCCGGCGTCTCGACTAGAGTGCCGTTTTGCAATGATATTTCCCAAGAGGAGCTATGACGTTGCGTGTCATTCGTTCGATCCGCGCACCTTGTTCCGTGCGCGCTAAATGTCCGTGAGGCCTGCGCCAAGATGTAAGCCATAATCCCGTCGGCAAGCACCACGCGTCATATGTTCACTGTCGCATGCATAGCGTTAACGCCAGAGTCTTTTTTGTCTAATGGTGATGACCCAAAGGCAACGCTAGCACGTAAACACGGACCGCAGTCACGGTTTGTTGACACTACTACGTCACTACGATGTACGGAAACGGAAATAGCGCTGATTGAGTCGGTCGACAGGAACAGGCAAGAACACCTACAATAAACAGCCACCGTAGCGATGAAATAACGCAGAGGGCGTTGTTGACCGCAGAAGCGTCGTAGAAGCGTTCGGGGGGCAGGATAGCTAGTAACGAGGAAAACAACCACGGAGACTCTTTGACGGGTGGTATGGACAGATACGATTCCAAAGTGGCACCAGTATCTAAGATAGGTAGAGTCCGGGGCAGAAATAAACGTAGCCACGAGCGCCGACCAATTCAGACATAGGATATATTAACATGCAGGGTGGTAGGAGCAGGCTGAAGTGGGAAGAGATAGAAGAACAGCTAAGGGAGGAGAGGCCGGTGGTATACGGTTTTGTAGAAACACATCTCAGGGACATGGAACAATCTCCTAACAATGCGGACTACGCGTGGGAATATTGTAATAGAACAGAAGGCAGCAGAAAGGGGGTGGTATTGGGGCATTCATTCATAAAAGTACAGACTGGCAAAGGGTCAAGCAGGAGTGCAAGGAGCATTTATGGCTAAAAGAGAAAGTGGCAGGTCAAATGACACTCCTTGGTTTCGTGTACTTGTGGACGGGAGCAAAGGCCAGAGAGGAAAACCAGGCAATGCTAGAGTGTATATCAAAGGACATTCAGGAGTTACGAGGAGAGTGCGAGATAATTATACTTGGAGATATGAATGCACACATAGAAGATATAGATGGGTATACCGATACGACAGGCAAAATGATCATGGATATGTGTGAAAAGCTGGATTTAATCATTTGCAACAGTACCGAAAAGTGTAAAGGGCAAATAACATGGGAGGTAGGAAGGCTGCAGTCGACGATAGATTACGCACTGATGTCACATAGGATGTATGATAAGCTCAGGGGAATGCACATAGATGAAGGTGGCTCCAGAAGTCTGGGTAGTGATCACAAACGTATCAAGCTAAGTTTTGGAAGAGCAGTGAAGGTGGGAAGGAGACAAGATGAGCAACTACAGGAAAAGTTTTATTCAGAAAGGCAAATTGAAATAGCCACTAAACAAATTGAGAAAGTAATCACTGAGGATAATAAAACAGTGTGGACATACACGAGTCTAATTAGACTGTTTGAGCTAGAGCTTGCAAAGGCACGTGAAAAGTCACCCCGAAAAAGAAGACACAAACCCAAAAGTTGGTGGGATGAGGAAGTTAAGAGAGCCATAGCAAAACGCCAGGAAGCCTCTAGAAAACACAGACATGCTAAGCAGTGGGGTGAACCGACAGATGATGTTGAAAGAAAAATGGGAAATTTTTTTAAGCTCTAGAAGGGATGCATCCCTTCTGATCAATGAAAAGATTAGAAGAAAGGGAGCCCAGTGGCTGGCAGAAGTACATAAAAAAGATAGAAAGGCAGCTGCGTAATTTTGGAACCATCTAAACTACCTAAGAAATGAGACGAGCCTAGAGCAGAGGTTTATAACTACAGCTCAAGGTGCTAAGCTAGAAGGGAACGAAGCTATTGAATATATAAGAACAAGAATGACAGAAAAATTTCCACACAGAAGTGCTTTATGCACCACAATAGACAAGGATGAATCAAATGGCGCAATAGCTCAATTTTTACAACAAGAGTGGGAAAGGGCTGAGAAAAGGGTTCTGTTACGACCGTCATCCTTATTGAAGTTTTTCGGCCTTTGTGATCGGGACGAAAATATTTCGATGCATTCCAAGCAAGGGTGTGCCGTCAAGACGGGTTGATTTCCTCTCCGCAAAAGCTGAACGAGGGGTTCGGGACTGGTTCGCGCAGAGAAAACGCACGAGCCAAGAGAGGCCAGTGTGAGCTCGACTCAAGAAAGGCCATTGAGTTTGCTGCGAGCAAGGCTTTCGAGGCAGACAAGGAGGCAGCTGGGCCATTTTCGAGGTCACCGAGGATTTGGGAATCTCGGAACCAGCATGGTATTTGCAGTTCAGGCTGCAAGCTAAAGCCGAATTGGTTGTGGTTGCATCTTGCGAGGACAAGTGGAGCCCCGGGATATGTGCAGCTAAGCCGCAGCTTCTAGCAAACAACCAGGAATGGAATGTGGAAGCTCTATCGGCTGCAGCCCTTGCCGGAGCTCGCCTCTGCAACGAAGGATTAGTTGACTACTCCCCCCCTCCTTTCTCCATAGGATCGGCTGAATGGGGTGGCACATTTTGACAGTATGCTGGCACACCACTACATTGTCCTACCCAAACAGTCAGGCAAGTTTGACACGTGTACTGACAGCCGGTTTTTCGAAACTCACCCAGCTGCCAGAACAATCTTGGAAACCGAAAAATGGCAGCATATCCACGGAGTGAATGATGGAGAGTGGGGCGAAGCATTCGTCCGTCCATGCGTCCGTCTGTGTGACCGTCCATGCGTCTGTTCGTGCGCCCGTCCCTGCGTTCGTTCATGCATCCGCCCCTGCGTCCGTTCATGCGTCCATCCATGCATCTGTCTGTGTGTCCGTTCGTCCATCTATTCAACACTCCAAGTCCCACCATCCCGCATCTTTTTATCATATATTCCCCATATAGAAGCACCGCCATTCAGTGGACATTCCAAAGACTAAACGAGAGGTGGCACACGTACACTTTCTTACGGCTTGCGTTTCGGGTCTACTTCCCACCTTCAACCACCTTGAGTTCATGGTATATACTAGTTCACTGTATTCGTGGCACTGCGGCCCAATGCTCGCTAAACCTTTCTAAAACCAAGGAGGTTACGCCCAGCGAGTATAACGTAGCAACCTTTTCCTGCCAGATAGTGCTCAATGTACATGCCAGTGGCTGCTAATGTGAAATGAGAGACAGGAAGATTCAGCTTTTAATTTCTTACGGCTTGCGCTTCGTATCTGCTTCCCCCATTTAACTACCTTGAATGCATTCATGGTATATACTAGTTCATTGTATTCATGGCCCTGCGACTCAACGCTAGCTAAACCTTTCTAAAACTAAGGAGGTTACACCCAGCGAGTGTAATGTAGCAACCCTTTCTTGTCCGATAGTGCTCAATGTACATGCCAATGTCTGCTAATGGGGATCGCAGCGTGCGCGTTGACTAAAAGCCGAATGCTCCTGTCTCTCATTCCCCATTAGCAGCCATTGGCATGTACATTGAGCGCTATTTTTTATTGTTAAACAACGCACAGAAGAAATCTCTCACCGGCACCACCTTGGAGGTCAAATGTTATACCTATTTTGGGTATGTGCCACTGGTGGTTACGTACTACGAGAAACGCACAAGCCACGCCATAAGGAGCTTCGCCCCTAAAATCATCGCACGTGCGCGAAACTTGGTGACGTGTGCGAAAACGTTGGTGCAGTGCTTTGGTGACCATATTTGGGCATCGTGTGGACTGTGCCCTCTCCGCATGCATTTTGTGGTGTCTTTCCTCTCTTTCGTGGGTGGAGCACCTAGACAAGGAGCGCCCTATTGGCGGAAACCACGGACAATGTGCCCAGGGTTGGCAACGAGGCGCTATACAAACCGAAGACTTTCGTGTATTTGAAGCTCCACAGTTCAAAAGCTCTCATGTACAGTTTTGACTTCTCGTTCTAATTCTCAGTTACTAACCATGTTAATAAATTGTTGTCGTTTGTACGAGCGCCTCATCTGACTTGTTCGACGATGGGTCCTAGGACGGGGGCCCGCTATCAAACTGAGACCCGCGGGACCCGAAGTCGCAACAGTTCCTAGTAGTACATCAACAGGCCCAGATGGCATTCAAATTATGCTGATAAAGACATTAGGTCCGAAGTCTAAGCAGGCTTTGAGAGAGGCAGTGAGCAAAATGATAATCGATGGAGAAGTTCCCGATGGATGGAAACTTAGCAGGATGAGCATGATCTATAAAGGAAAGGGGGACAAAGCTGACATAAACAACTACCGTCCTATAACAGTGACATCAGTGGTCTACAGGCTGGCGATGCAGATTATAAAGGAACTGAGACTGCAGGCAGGAATAGAGGATGAGGGGGTGCTGGGGGATCTGCAGAATGGGTTTCGGAAACACAGGAAGTTGGAAGACAATCTGTTCTCACTGACGCAGTGTATCGAAATAGCAGAAAAAGAACACAGGCCCCTGTGGCTACCATTTTTGGATATCAAGGGAGCGTAGGATAGCGTGGTTCAAGAGGAATTGTGGGGAATACTGGACACACTTGGCGTGGAAGATGTAGTCACAAATTTTTTAAAGGAGATCTATAAAAGTAACAAGTTAGTTATAAAGTGGGAAAAACAGGTATCTAAGCCCACAGAGGTGAAACGGGGGCTTAGGCAGGGGTGTCCTCTGTCACCCTTGTTATTCATGGTGTACCTACAAGGACTAGAGACCAAATTAGAGAGAAGTGGGCTGGGCTTCAACCTCTCTTTCGTCAAACAAGGAAAACTCATTGAACAGGCACTACCGGTATTGATGTAGGCGATGATGTAGGTATTGATGTAGGTGATCACGCAGATGATAAAGTGCTAATGGCCGACAACAAGGAAGATTTGCAGAGATTGGTGGACATCTGCGGTAATGAGGGAGATAGGTTGGATTTCAGATTCAGTAAGGAAAAATCAGCAGTCATGATTTTTAATAATAATGAATTAAGGTAGTGAGCTTAGAATAGAGGAGGTCACGCTAGAGATAACAGATAAATACAAATATCTGGGCGTATGGATAAGCAATGGGACCGATTACCTGAGGGAACACGAAATATACGTGACGACTAAAGGTAACAGGAATGCAGCAGTGATGAAAAATAGGGCACTGTGGAACTACAATAGGTATGATGTTGTGAGAGGAATATGGAAAGGGGTCATGGTTCCTGGGCTGACATTCGGCAATGCGGTCTTGTGCATGAGATCAAAAGTTCAAGCAAGATTAGAAATTAAGCAACGTGGAATAGGTAGGCTTGCTTTAAGAGCTCACGGGAATACACCAAATCAGGGAGTACAAGGTGATAT